AGCACCCCCCAACCCCTCCAGCACCTCGAATTAGGGCGCTGCTCCCCCCACACCCGGGAGCAAGAGAGCCCAGGTGCCTCAGCACCGCGAGGAAATGGGAATTAACCTTTTTGGGGGCGTTTAGGGGAAACGGATGCGCCGCCAGCCAGCCGGGGGTGAGCGTTAAAGCAAAGAAATTCTGCGTTTCCCCGTCCTCATCGCAGCACCAGGCCGAAGGAGAGCGGGTCTGCCAAGCTGAGGATTTAATTAATGGCATTTCACGCCATTCCTCTTTGGGGTCCCTAATTCCCCCGAGAGGTCTGTGCCGGATGGGCTGAGCGGCGTCCGCGCGAGACGCGCCGAGGCAAACTCGTCCCCGGCGCACGCCTGCAGCCAGGACCCGCGTCCCTCTGCTCCTGAGAAGCTTTAACGCACGTTCCCTACCTTTCTCTCAAGGTCATTTCTTCCCCCGCTTATAGGAACGTGGGAGGAAAGATAAAGGTTATTTTAGTGGCTGAACTGAAGGCACAAAGGGAAATTTTTCAGCTCAGCGCCTGTGTTGCAGCCGCCCCCGAGTTCTCCAGGGCGCCAGGGGAGCAGGGCAAGCCTGGCTCTCCTAAGCGAGACGGCTCACGCGGGGTGGCCGAGTTACCCCTTCAATTCCCTCTACAAGGCAAGGAACGTCCATTTTCAGCAAACGCCGGTCTCCACGCCGCAGCGGACGATGAACCGATGGCGATAGGTATCACCTCGCCCTCGGCAGGAAAGCTCCGCTCACACGCACCCCGCGGGCCAGCCTTACTGATCTGCTCTAAGGAGAACGGGATCCGTCACCGTGCCGCTCCGATACTTGCCTCACACCGTGGATGTTTTTAATCGCGTAGCTTATTTCCCGCCTCAAGTCCTTCTCGTCAAACTCCATCTGAATAGGGAGGAAAGGCACAGTTACGATTTTTACAGCCAGCAACTTCTGGCAATCACCTGGGCGCGCGAGCGGGCTCCCGCTGCAGCTTCTTCTGCAGCGTCGCAGGAGGCAGACGCCTGCCTTGCAGCACTCATCGTCTTCAGCCCACGAGGCACCTTGCAAGCAGGTTCAGAGGCTGCCTGCTACCCTGGCCAGACCGGCTCGCGCTCTGTGGCTTACTTCTCTCAAATCTTGACACCTCGCTAGCGCCCTGCTTTGATACCCTTCTCGCCCCGGCGCTTAAGCCAGACGTCCTGGCATCGCCACCCAGAAAGGACAGCCCGCCGCGTCTAGCGAAACACACGACCGACTCTAATAAAAACATCCCCTCCTCCTCTAAACACCTCCGAGCGCCGGGAAGGGTGCTGAGGGACTGCCGGGGCTGAGCTGGGCTTCAGCTCCACGTGGATGTCGCAGCTGGGCGAGAGGGAGCTCAGCCCGTCCCAACCACGGGCTGCTTTCCACGGGAGCGGGGTCTGCCCGACACGATCCACGCAGCACGCGCGCTCCCCAGGCCAGCTGTACCTTCACTAGCTCAAAAGGAAACCTCTCGTGAAAAATGCGATTGATTCTGGCACCCCCGGAGAGTTCGAGCGTGTCCACCTGGTCTCCTGAACCTTCGATCCGCTTCTCAAAGTCCACACCGAACTGCTGGACCATTCTGTGGAGAAGCAATGGGATTAAATGGGCGCCCGCTGAGTACAACGGACGGACAGACACCCAGACTGCCTCCCACGGCCAGCTCCACCCCACCAGCTCTGCTTCGCCTAGCCAGGGCTGTGTAAAAGTTCTCCCAATTCCCTCTCCTGGAGTCGCAGAAGCAAAAAATCTCCCTTTTGCTGTAGTCCAAAGAGCTCCTGGGCAGGTCAAGGACGGACGCAAGTCGTCCTTTCTAATCCCGAGACCAAACTGTTTGCTTTAGGACAGGCAGCTCACGTACGCAGAGCACAGCGAGCACTCCTGACAGGAGAGGGTAGGGAGGGGGTGGGCTCTTCTCCCAAGGAACCAGCGATGGGACGAGAGGAGATGGCCTCAAGCTGCGCCAGGGGAGGCTGAGATTGGATATTGGGAGAAATTTCCTCACGGAAAGAGCGGTCAAGCGTTGGAAGGGGCTGCCCAGAGAGGTGGGGGAGTCCCCAGCCCTGGAGGGGGTCAAAAACCAGGCAGAGGTGGCACGGGGGGCCATGGTTTAGTGGCCATGGGGGTGTTGGGGTGACGTTGGGCTGATGGTCTGAGAGCTCCTGTCCAACCTTAGCCATTCCTGGTCTGACTTCATGGAAAAATGATCCAAGCCAGGAACATGAAATTATGGCTCTGCCCTTAACTGGTTTGGTGGCAGTGTCAGGTCAATGGTTGGACTGGGTGACCTTAAAGCTCTTTGCCAACCTCAACGATTCCGTGATTCCATGATTCTATAAGCACGAGATGCTAATTCTCGCCTGCGGAGACGCTCAGCAGACATTTCTGGGAGAGGCTTTCCTTGTCCTTCCAGCAGCCTGCCAGACAAGCGCCAGAGGACACAGAATTTCTCTTAGCACCCTTGGAGTTGGCAGGGCCATCTGCCAGCACCGCTCGCTCCCAACTTCGGGGCTGTTCCGGCCTCTTCCTTGGAAGAAGCCGCCGGCTGAGATAAATGAGCCTCGCGTGAAGAGCAGAGCAAGTTCTGAGCCGGCAACGTTCCTGGCTGGGAGAGGCGAATCTCCTCTGCCAGGTGAGGCACCGGGAACGCAGCACCGAGCGAGCGAAACCTACTGTAACAAAGCTTTGGTTTTTCGCGTGGGGTCATCGGGGCGGAAGTTCTTGTACTCCTCAACCTCCTTCTCCAGGGAGAGCAGCTGACTCTGAAGTTTGCTGCGCAGCGAAGGCAGCGTCTCCCGAATGTGGTTGGTGAGTTGCTGCGAAAGAATCGAGAGAACTGAGCCACCCTCCTCTGCACCAGAGCGGCCGCAGGAACGTGCGCTTTCCACCAGAGAGAAATGCCATCACCGCAAAACACTCGGGAAGGGAACCAAGCCTACCTGGTTAAGGACTTTCTGCAAATGCGGGGTGCCCATCCGGTCGGCCATGTGCCGGTAAGCCGGGTGAGAAAGGAAGAACTTGCGCTCGGCTGCCAGCGCTGCCCTGATGTCCTTCTTACCATCGATGTCCTTCTGGCTTCGGTTAACGACGCCGATGTAGCCTGCAAGAGGACACGCCGGCTCTTGCTACGGACAGACCCAGCCGAAAGGCGTCCGAGCAGGGCCGCGCAGCTCCGTATCGCCATCCGCAGCCACTTCTCCCGGAGCAAAGGGCAGCACGAAGGGCCTGGGCTGCCCAGCAGACGCCGGGGAGCGCAGGAGCTGCCCTTCGACTCCTTTTGGAACGTCACCCTCTCCACACGAGAGACGAAGGTCGTGGGGGAGAGGATACGGGGCGACACAAAGCCTTCGCGGTTCGCTGTACCTCTTCGTAAAGGAAGCAGCTTGTTCTCCAGCACGTCTCTGGCATCTGTGCCTTCATCCATCAGATCCAGCTTGGTGATGACTCCAATCGTCCGCAAGCCTGAAGCAGCCAGGCAAACGAGCAACCGATTAACCTCGTGTCACAGAACGCATCAAAAGGAGACACGCGGGTGCATGACCAGAACAAAATTGGACTCGGCGAGGGGTGGAACTGCTGGCCCTTCCTCAACTATCAGAGGACGGAGAGTCCTCTGTGAGAGGAGGAGGAGGAGGAGGAGGAGGGATAAGGAGACCCTCCGGTGCCAAAATCGGGGAGCTGATTGCTGAGACTCTGCCGCAACAGCTGCTGAAGGCCAGGGGAGGTTTAGGTTGGATATTAGGAAAAATTTCTTTACGGAAAGGGCGGTCAAGCACTGGAACAGGCTGCCCAGAGAGGTGGGGGAGTCCCCATCCCTGGAGGTGTTCAAAAAACGGGCAGAGGTGGCACTTGGGGACATGGTTCAGTCTGGTCTACCCTTGACTGGTTTAGTGTGGGCTTGGCAGTGTAGGTTAATGGTTGGACTGGATGCTCTTAAAGGTCTTTTCCAACATAAATGATTCGATGATTCTATGATACCTGGGCTGGGGCAGCAGCACGGGCAGAGACAGGCAGGAGGACACGTCCATCTTACCTTGAGGATCGACTTCTTTTGCCATCTTGAGCGCGTCCGAGTTGGCCAGATCCATGTTGGCCGGCGTGACAGCAAGGATCAAGCTGCTCTCCCTGCTGATGAACTGCAGGATCATGTCTTTGATCTGGTACTCGATGTCCTGCGGTTGGTCCCCCACCGGCACTTTGGTGATTCCCGGGAGGTCGATCAGAGTCAGGTTCAACACTGAAAGGACAGAGACCACCCGCGTTCGGGGCCAAGGGCCTGGCGTTGGGAGCTCTCAAGTCTTGCGGCTGGATCTCTTCAGATCTGCTGACAGATCCGCCCCTCTGCAAGCCTTAAAAT